CGCAACGGAGCTCCAGCTTGCCGGCCGCGCGCGCGGGCAAGAGGAGCCAGATGAGGCGAGGAGGCAAAGGAGCAGCAGCAGCAGCAGCATAAAAGGCCAGGAGCGGGAGGAGAGGAGGAAGAGAATGGCGAAACCGAACCCAGGCGAAAGCCATCCTGGGCGAAAGACCAACCCGCACAAAACCCCAACCGGGCGAAGCCAAACTGGGCGAAAGCCAACCTGGGCGGAAGCCAAACCGGGAACAGCTTATCCGGGCGAAAGCCAGCCTGGGCGAAAGCCAACCCGGGCGAAAGCCAACCCGGGCGAAAGCCAATTCGGGCTAAAGCCAACCCGTGCGAAAGCCAACCTGGGCGAAAGCTAACTCGGGCGAAAGGGAACCCGGGCAAAAACCAACCGGGCGAAAGCAAACCCGGGCGAAAGCCAACCCGAGCGAAAAACGCTTACTCCGGCAAAACATTGCCCCAAGTAGATCGCACTGCAGAGGTGGCAACACATGGATTGCACCACGTGTGTTGCTTTAGGAGCACATTGTTTGGGGCCCGCGCTGGCTGGCATGACATTGTTCGGCCGGTGAAAGAGCGGTGATGGAATGGGGCCGAGGGCTGCGAAGGCCCGCGCTGAAAATAACAAATCACGAGCTCGGAACTATGGGGTGGTTGTTGGGCCACTCATCGCCATCACCAGTTGCGGTGTGGCGACCTAGTGCCTTTAGACGTGCCGATGGAATTGTGCGTGGGCTCGGCTGCACGGCCCAGTCCGGGATTCCTCAATCTGATGAGGAGCTGGAGGAGGACGAGGCGGAGCAGCATCCACGGCACCTCTCAAAACCTGCGACGGTTTGTTTGCATTTCGCGACATTGGCCTTCCCGAAATTCTTGACGCTTCGCGTATCCCCACCAGCGCGCCTTTTGGCTGCGTTGGTGCGTACTCTGAAGCTGCGACGGTTCGCTGGCGCTGTCAGAGTCCCACCTCTCCCTACGGTATGCAGTCAGGCGACAGCTTGCGCGTCTCTCGGACGCTTCTGCTTGAGCATGGTTCAGACACCCTGGGACCCTATGGTACGCCATTCGCTGCGCCGAGGTTTGCAGACTCCCTACTGTCCAGATAGTCTACCCAAGCGGCGTACTGCGTGGCCATGGCCTCAGACACCTTGGGGTTATTCTCTTGCACAGGGTGTCTAGAGCTCCGACCACTTTATTTCGGCACCGCCCCCCCCCCCATCATAATCACCATCATCATCATCATCGTCCACATCATCATCATCATGCGCCCCCTCCGTCTCAGCGCCCTCCCGCGGCTCCAGCGCCCGCCCAGTGCCCCCTCCGCCCCGACCACTTTATTTCGGCACCGCACCCCCCCCCCGCTCCGCCCCCTCCCCCGCGCCGTCTCAGCGCCCCCCCGCGGCTCCAGCGCCCGCCCAGTGCCCCCTCCGCCTCGACCACTTTATTTCGGCACCGCACCCCCCCCCGCTCCGCCCCCTCCCCCGCGCCGTCTCAGCGCCCCCCCGCGGCTCCAGCGCCCGCCCAGTGCCTCCTCCGCCCCGACCACTTTATTTCGGCACCGCACCCCCCCTCCCCGCTCCGCCCCCTCCCCCGCGCCGTCTCAGCGCCCCCGCGCGGCTCCAGCGCCCGCCCAGTGCCCCCTCCGCCACGACCACTTTATTTCGGCACCGCACCCCCCCTCCCCGCTCCGCCCCCTCCCCCGCGCCGTCTCAGCGCCCCCGCGCGGCTCCAGCGCCCGCCCAGTGCCCCCTCCGCCCCGACCACTTTATTTCGGCACCGCACCCCCCCTCCCCGCTCCGCCCCCTCCCCCGCGCCGTCTCAGCGCCTCCCCCCCAGCCGGCTTTCCAGCGCCCGCGCCGGTGGCCCCTCCCCCCGACCACTTATTTCGGCACCGCACCCCCGCCCCGCTCCGCCCCCTCCCCCGCGCCCAGTCTCAGCGCACCGCGGCCCCAGCGCCCGCCCAGTGCCCCCTCCGCCCCGACCACTTTATTTCGGCACCGCCCCCCCCCCCCCTCCGCCCCCTCCCCCGCGCCGTCTCAGCGCCCCCCCGCGGCTCCAGCGCCCGCCCAGTGCCCCCTCCGCCCCGACCACTTTATTTCGGCACCGCACCCCTCCCCCTCCGCCCCCTCCCCCGCGCCGTCTCAGCGCCCCCCCGCGTCTAGCGCCCGCCCAGTGCCCCCTCCGCCCCGACCACTTTATTTCGGCACACGCACCCCCCTCCCTCCCCGCTTCGCCCTTCCCCGCGCCGTCTCAGCGCCCCCCCCCCCTGACTCCAGCGCCCAGTGCCTCCCTCCGCCCCGACCACTTTACACTTCGCCACCGCCCCCCCCCCTCACCCGCTCCCCCGCCCCCCCCGCGCCGTCCCTCAAGGGCCCCCCCGCGGCTCCAGCGCCCGCCCAGCGCCCCCTCCGCCTCGACCACTTTATTTCGGCACCGCACCCCCCCCCCGCTCCGCACCCTCCCCCGCGCCGTCTCAGCGCCCCCGCGCGGCTCCAGCGCCCGCCCAGTGCCCCCTCCGCCCCGACCACTTTATTTCGGCACCGCCCTCCCACACCCCCCTCCCCACCCGCTCCGCACCCTCCCCCGCGCCGTCTCAGCGCACCCGCGGCTCCAGCGCCCGCCCAGCGCCCCCTCCGCCCCGACCATTTTATTTCGGCCCGCACCCCCCCCATCCCCGCTCCGCTCCTCCCCCGCCCGTCTCACGCCCCAGCCCGCGGTTCCGCGCCCGCCCAGTGCCCCCTCCGCCCCGACCACTTTATTTCGGCACCGCCCCCCCCCCCCCCCCGTTCCGCCGCCTCCCGCCGCACCGTCCTGAGGAGCGCTCCCCCGCGGCTCGAGCGTCCGCCCAGTGCCCCTCGCGCCCCGACACCCCCCCCCATCCTCCTCCCCTCCCCCACAACGTCTCATCAGCGCCCCCCACGGCTCCAGCCCTCCTTGGACCCTGGAGGCCTCCCCTTGGAACCCTCTGTAGGCTTCTCGGGCGTCAGTTGGAGGCTTCCTGAGAACCCGTCAAAGGTCTTTGAAGCCATCTTGCGGGGGACGGCCCTTGGAGTCTCCTCGCGCTCGCCCTCTGGAGCCCCTCTTGCGGCCCTGTTTTGTTCACTCCTTCTGCGATGTCTGGCATCCTCTCCCCCCCCCTCCTCCTCCACATCCTCCTCCTCCCCCTTCCTTTTTGTGCAAGAGCCATGGCACACGTGCCACTTGTTTGCATCGCGCCATTTGGGCAGCGTAGTTACAGACTCCCTGGGTGCAGGTCCCTGGGCGTCAGGCACCCTGGGTTGCAGCACCCTTGCACCCGCCGCCCCGGCGCCGGCCGCGGCCCGCGCGCGCGTCCGGCCAATTAGTTTCGGCCGCAGCCCGACCGTTACTCGCCGCCGCTGGCGCTTCCGCCCGCGGCTGTAAAAAAAAAAGATATCCCCACCAGCCCATCCTACACCAGGCACTCGAACGAAGAGCGCCGATGATCGGCAGCTGTTCTTCTTCCCCTCTTCCTCCTTCTCCTCCGCCTTCTTCCTCCTCCTCCTCTCCTCCTCCCTCTCCTCCTCCTCTTCCTCCTCCTCCTCCTCCTCCTCCTCCTCCTCTTCCTCCGCCTCTTCCTCCTCCCTGGTGGCGTCTTGGAGGTATCTTCGAACGGTTTGGTGGGCTCTTGGGCCTTGCGGGCGGGCGGGCGGCTTTCCGCCCGCCCGCGCGCAGGGCCCAAGAGGAGAGTCCAAGACGTCTCTTGGAGCCATTTAGGAGGAGATCGATCAACGAAGGAGGGTCCCTCAACTTGGCTCGCCCCCCAGGAGCTCCAAACATCGTTCCCTGGGGTCCTTTTAGACGCCATCGGGGCGCTCTGGGGGGGCATCTTGGAGCAAATGTATCAAAGAAGAGCAGAGCTTTAATTAGCGTTGCCCCTCCAGACTGTCTAAAATCGCTTCCTGGACCCCTCTTGGATCGCTCTTGGAGCGCTCTTGGACGCTGTTGAGGCAGTATTGAGGCTCTCTTGGGCCCCTGTTGGGGCCCAGTTGGGACATCTTGGCGCCATCTTGAGGCCTCGGATGGGCTTCGGAAGCGAAAAAGTGAGAACACCAAAAACTTTGATTTTCCCTAGGGTTTTGAAGCATTTCGGCCTTTTGAGGGCACTCTAATGATGCTCTTGTGGGCACTTGGAACCATCTTGGAGCGGTCTTGGAACGTGTTGGAGCGTCTTCTGAACCATCTTCAGGCATCTTGCGCTATCTTGAGCCATCTTGGAGGCGATCTTGGGCTCTCTGAGGCCCTATTGGAGCCGTCCTGGGCCATCTTGGACGCTCTGACCGCTCCCCGCCCCTCCTGTCCAGGTCAGTGGGGAGGGGGTAGGGGGAGGGGTAAACCCCTCCCCGAAGGGGAAGAGGGAGGGGTGGAAGAGGAAACGCCCTAAACCACCGACGCCCAGAGGGCTGGTGGGATTCTTCGCCATATCCCCAGGCTAGCGTTTTTGCCACCAGTCGGTCTCTGATAACCCTTGGGCCAGTGAGCGGCCTCTGGAGGTCGAAGGCCTGGCAGCGCTATCGCACAGCGCCGGGTTGCGTCACTTCCAGGGGCGGCCCATTGCCAACGGGTTACTGCGCCATGCTCCATGCCCCCCCCCAAAACAAGGCAGGAGTTACATGTTGCAGCCAGGGTGCTGCCCTCGGGCCCTACTTTTCCGATCGAGATTATACTCCTGGAGGCCTGACGCGGCGCGCAATAGTTGTACCATGTAGTCCACACGTCCGCTCCGTACGGCATGGGTCCACGTTCGCGCGGCGATGCTCCGACATAGGTCGAGTTTCCTCAGAAGGTAGTACTCCCTTCCTGCCCCTAATCCGCTCAATCCCGCTTCATCCGGCTTCACAGCGAACTGAATCCTGCTTAGTCCAGCTCAATGGCCCCTTCTTCGGGCTTCATAGCCCTTCATCGTTGTGACGAAGACCTCCCAGGAACTTCCTCCTGAAATCCTCGCTGCTGGCCCTTCGGTCCTGATGGCGCGGGGAGGTGACTGCGATCACCCTCGTGGCGCTGGGCACCTCTTTGCCCGACCTCTTCGCCTCCAAGACCGCCGCGCTGAACGAGCCTTACGCGGACAGCGCGGGCCTGGCCCTGAAGGAGGAGGAGGAGGAGGAGAAGGAAGGCAGTGATGAAGAGACGAAGGAGGAGGAAGGAGCAGGAGGGATGATGATGCTGATGATGATGATGATGATGATGATGATGATGATGATGATGATGATGATGATGATGATGATGATGCTGATGCTGCTGCTGCTGCTGCTGCTGCTGCTGCTGATGATGATGATGATGATGATGATGGTGGTGGTGGTGATGATGATGAGGAGGATGATGATGAGGAGGATGAGGGGAGTGACGGAGGCGGAGGAGAGGCGGAGGAGGAGGAGAGGAGGGGGGAGGGAGCGGAGAGAAGGAGGAGGATGAAGAGAGAAGAAGAGGATGGTGCGAAGACGTGATGAAGATAAATTATGCTTAATGTTGATCAGAAAGGGGGAGGGAGGGGTGAGAGGAGGAGGAGGAGGAGGAGGACGAGGAGGACGAGGAGGCGAAGGAAGGCATAGATGAAGAGAAGAAGGAGGAGGGAGGAGCAGGAGCAGGAGCAGGAGCAGGAGCAGCAGGAGGAGGAGGAGGAGGAGGAGGCTCATCTGCACAGTGCGCAGCAACCCGTCCCATGCGGGGGTGCTGTGGACCATTCCTGCGCGGCACCACCAGCCCCTCGCTGCGGGGGCCGCTGGGAAAGAGCAGCAGAGCCGGCAGCAACTGCTTCCGCACAGCACACAGCTCGCAGCGGGGCTGCCAGGGGCCCGTCCGCGCGGCACTCCACCAGCTCACGTGCTGGGGGCGGGGCCCGCCGGGGGGGACCCCTCCCGCTGGGCATCGCTCAGCCGTGTGTTTTTCTCCCCGGCGAGAACCGTCGGGGAGCACTTTGTCGCAGGTCTAGAGGTTGACACCAACACCAAGATCGGCGGCGTGCCTCCACTGGGGGAAGAAGATCCTAATCTCGGTGATGGTGGTAATATTCTGGCTTCCAAGGTGACCGAACTATTACCACCAGCACCGGAATCCAGGATCCTCTTCCCCCTGTGGAGGCACCCCCCCCTGTGTTGGTGTTGGTGCCCATTTCCATGCCTCCAACTTTGGGTCCTCCCGCGGAAGCAGACAGCGCGCGACGCCGAGGCATGCGCGAGGAAAGCGGACGTCTCCGAGCGATGGCGGGCCCCCGCAGGGGCTCCAGGCCGGGCGCCCCCCGCGTCAGTGCCGGGCGCCGGCCCGCAGGCCGCGGGTCGGGGGTTCACAGAGGGAGGGTTATCCCAACGTGGGGCTCTGATCCTCCCTCCTCCTTCTCCTCCTCCTCCTCGTCCTCCTCCTCCTCCTCCTCCTCCTCCCATGGCCTCCTCCTGGGGAACGGGCCCAGTTGGGCGCTCCTGTTTAACTCAAGCAGTGGCGAAGCGTCGGGTCAGGGGTTGGTCTACAGGCCTACCAAACAATGTTCTCTAAGGACCTTTCAGTGGTCTGCACGAGATGTTCTTAGAACATTTCTGGCTGGTGCTGTCTTGTTTTGACGCGTCGGGCTTATGTTCTGAGAAGCATGTGTTTTTTTTGTTGAAAAGCACTTCTGCATTCTCGTGGTAGGCCTATAGGACTGCCAGGACGGTCGGTCCCTGTCCAAGGTTCATAGAGGGAGGGTTATCCCAAGGTGTGGCTGGGGAGCGGACCCAGCTGGATGCTCCTGTTTCACGCGTTTCCTTCCTCCAGAGGCCGTGCGGAGCGATTTTCCCTCCAACCCACCTTTGCCCCAACCTCACCTGGTGACCCCCCGATTCGGGGGCCACAGGGGGAGGGGGATGCGCGCAGGCTGAGCGCCCTGGGTGCCCTCCTGTGGGTTCTGGGGCTGGCGCCGCGTGGCCCGGCCTGGCGGGCGGTGCGAGCGCGGGCTTGCTCGAGGGCGGCGCTAAGAACGTTGGTCGACTACATGTGAGAGTGACCCTTCGCTGCAGTGACCTTGGGTGCGGGCTCACCGGGGTCCCCCCGATCGCTGAGCGCGAGGCCATAGTGGCTGCCTGCGTGCTTGGATTTGGCGACCTGGCGCCCCCTGAATCCGCGCATGAGAGGTCGGCCTTGCCTAAGGTCACTCTTGCGCGTAGCCCATTGAGGGCGGCGGGAAGGGAAAGAAACGGGGAAGGGGGAGGAAGGAGGAGAGGGATGTTCTTCTGGGTGCCTGGCCGTCTTCGGGCCCCGGCTTGCTTCCCATCAGTTGCGCGTGTTCGAAGGTGGAGGCGTGCCGAACGGCCGCATGAGGCCCGAGTCATGTTCCGAAACGTATGATGATGATGATGATGATGATGATGATGATGATGATGATGATGATGAGGAGGAGGAGGAGGAGGAGGAGGAGGAGGAGGAGGAGGAGGAACAGGAGGCGGAGGAGGAGGAGGAGGAGGAGGGACTCCGACGTTTTCCTTCTGGGGGTGTCTCGAGGTGTGCGGGGGACTTGTCGCCACTGCCAGGTCCGCCTCGGCAGCCCAGTCAGAGCGCGCTCCATCCGCCAGGAGAGGCTCTGCAGTCGACTCTCAGCCAGGAAGGGGCGCGTAGGAGGGGCGAAACGGAGGGAGGACGTGGCAGAGCCTCCGCACGTCGCGTGTCAACGCCAGCGCGCACCGGGAAACGTCAGGCGCGCTGAGAGCAGGCACTCTTGGCAACGCCTCGTCCTGTACGCGGCTAGGCTCGGATCCGAAGTAGGCCCGGGCCGTGGCCAGGGCGACTGCCGGACTGGGCCCACAGGTCTCAGCCCGGGCGTCTCGGTTCCCGGACCTCCAGGCGTCGCGAGCAAAACGCAACGGCCGTTGTGTGTTAGGGTTGAACATTATTTATTCTAAAGAATAATTATTGTTGGGCCCCCTGGTGCGCGCCCCCCCTGCGCCGCCTAGGCCGCAGCTACATTTTCATCATTTTCGTGAGGAAGCCTCAGAAAAGAGGGTGTGTACAGGATCCGGGTACGGTGCGAATCGCGCTTTGTTTTGTGTAACCGTTTTCCCCGTTGCAAAAAAACAAATAGAAAATGACAGAGAAAGTTTCTAATATAATCAATTTCAAGAATCCCCCTTTGCAACGAAAATAAGGGTAAAGTGTGGTGACATTCGATGTTCAGCGCGCGCAAGACGAAATTCCTTCCAAAAGCTACCTAAGTGTTCGCAGCAGATTTTAAAACATAAAAACATCAAAAAACCAATGGTTTTTCAACAAAAATTGTCAAAATCTCATCCCGCGCGCTCTTGCGGATTCGTAGGAAACCCAACACTTTTTTAACATTCCTGTCAAACGGGCTTTTGCGAGCAACTTTTTCGAACTTCTGCGACAACGGTTGCGCACCTGCCAGGGCCATCATCCCTGTCAAATAATACCATGCGGGACACATTCGTTTTTTCTTCGCGCGCGCACGCCGTCGTCGTCGGCCGCGGGCCCTGAATAGTAGCCACGGTCGTCCGCATGCCACGAAGTGAAGTGTCCGAGCGTCATAGGGCGGGAAGCTGGGTGTGGGTGGTGGCGAAGAGTCGTTTGGAAATTTGGTAGAGCTTGAACCGGCCCCCCCACAAAGTGGGGGTATTGCCCGCCTCCTATGGAAACCCTGGCACTGTAGAACGGAGTGTCCCCACGTGCTAGTAATTGTTGTTGTTGTTGTTGTTGTTGTTGTTGAACATTAATTATTCTAAAGAATAATTATTGTTGGGCCCCCTGGTGCGCGCCCCCCCTGCGCCGCCTAGGCCGCAGCTACATTTTCATCATTTTCGTGAGGAAGCCTCAGAAAAGAGGGTGTGTACAGGATCCGGTTGTTTTGTTGTAATCCGCTTTCCCTTGCAAAACAACAATAGAAAATGACATTTCTTGTTCTAATATAATCAAATTTCAAGAATCCCTTGCAAAAAATAAGGTAAAGTGGACATTCGCGCGCGCAAGACGAAATCCTTCCAAAACCTTAGTGTTCGCAACGATTTAAACATAAAAACATCAAAAAACCAATGGTTTTTCAACAAAAAATTGTCAAAATCTCATCCCGCGCGCTCTTGCGGATTCGTAGGAAACCCAACACTTTTTAAACATTTATGTCAAACGGGCTTTTGCGAGCAACTTTTTCGAACTTCTGCGACAACGGTTGCGCACCTGCCAGGGCCATCATCCCTGTCAAATAATACCATGCGGGACACATTCGTTTTTTCTTCGCGCGCGCACGCCGTCGTCGTCGTCCGCGGGGCCCTGAATAGTATCCACGGTCGTCCGCATGCCACGAAGTGAAGTGTCCGAACGTCATAGGGCGGGAAGCTGGGTGTGGGTGGTGGCGAAGAGTCGTTTGGAAACTTGGTAGAGCTTGAACCGGCCCCCCCACAAAGTGGGGGTATTGCCCGCCTCCTATGAAAACCCTGGCTGGCACTGGTGAGAACGGAGTGTCCCCAGTCTTAAATGATTGTTGTTGTTGTTGTTGTTGAACCCTCATTTCTGAAGAATAACTATTGTTGACCCCCCCCGTCCGGTGCACAATGTTTGTTTCGACCGAAGTGCCCTTCCCAGGGCTCGCACCTTGTCTTTAATCAGGGAAAGCGTTGCGGGTCAAACTGTGTCGTTGGCCCCCCGGTTTACAACAACAACGGCTCCCGCCTGAGACTCCCTTACGATTTAGCCAGGACCCACGCTCCCGCCCGAGACTTCCTCGCGTTTTATTCAGAAATCGCGCTCTCGCTTGGGACTTCCTTAGAATTTATGCTCCCGGCGCTCTGGAGTCGCGCTCTCGCTGGACATTTGCTTGCAATTTACTAAAGAATGGCGCCCTTGCATCGGAATTCCCTGCAATTTACTCCAGCGCCGCGCTCCCGACACCCAGGCACCCAGGAGTCGCGCTCACGCTTAGGACTCCCTCACAGATTACATAGGAATCGGGATCTCGCTGCCCTTCGTGGCACCGTTGCAGCCCTTCGTGGCCCCCTTGCTTTGTTTCGTGGCCCCGTTGCAGCCCTTCGTGGCCTCGTCGCTGCCCTTTGTGGCCCCGTTGCAGCCCCTCGTGGCCTCCTCGCTGCCTTTCGTGGCCCCGTTGCAGTCCTTTGTGGCCCCCTCGCTTTGTTTCGTGGCCCCGTTGCAGCCCTTCGTGGCCCCCTCGCTGCCCTTCGTGGCCCCGTCGCAGCCCTTCGTGGCCCCGTTGCAGCCATTCGTGGCCCCCTCGCTGCCCTTCGTGGCCCCATATATGTAGGCCCTTCGTGTCCCCCGCTCGTTCGCGCCCGTGGTGGCCCCATATGCATCTGTCCTACGTGGCCCAGTTGCTACCCTCAGTGGCCCCATCGTTGCCTGCTGTGGCCCCGCATTATCTACCCTTCGTGGCCCCCGCTCGTTCGCGCTCTTCGTGGCCCCATACGCATTCCCTTCGTGTCTCCGCTGTTGCCCTTCGTGGCCTACTTCGTGTCCTTGTGGCCCTGCTGTCGTTCTCTTTCGCTCTCGCTTTCGCTCGTCGTCGTCGTCGCCGTCGTCGTCGTCGTCGCCGCCGTCGTCGTCGACGTCGTCGTCGTCGTGGTCGGTCCCCTGTCCGCCCCTCTTGGGGTCGGGTCGACGGTCCGCGGCCGCCCCGCCGATCAGCGCTGCCGCTGGCCAGGCCGACGGTCCGCGGCCGCCCCGCCGCATGCTGGGGCCCGGCCTGCAGGAAAGAATGGTGTACCCCCCAAAAGGGGGTCGATCGAATACGAAGAGGGCGGGTATCGAGGGTTTGGGAAATAGGCGTTATTGGACACTCGAGCAGATAAGGGCGAACAGTCTTAACATGATTGTTGGTGTTGTTTTTGGTGGTGCTGGTGTTGTTGTTGTTGGTGTTGGTGCTGGTGTTGTTGTTGGTGGTGGTGTTGAACTCTCACCGTTGAAGAATAATTGTCGTTGATCGCCCCTCTCCAGTGGTCATTGTGCTTTTTACGTGCTTCCTCCAGAGCTCGCACCCGTTTATTCTATCAGGGAAGGTCACGGGGAAACTGTGTTGCTGGCCCCCAGATTATACCAACACCGACTCCCACTTGAAACTTCCTAGCAATTTAGCTAGGACTGCCGCTCCCACCTGAGCCTTCCTCGCATGTTACTCAGGAATCGCGCTCTCGCTTGGGACTTCCTTGCAGTTTATTAAGGGATCGCTCTCTCGGCGCTCAGGCGTCGCGCTCTCGCTGGAAACTCGCTTGCGAGTTACTAAAGAATCGCGCTCTTGCGTTGGACTTTCCCGCGATTTACTCAAACGCCGCGTTCCCGACACCCAGGCACCCAGGAGTCGCGCTCACGCTTAGGACTCCGCCACAAGTTGGCCCCCGTTTCAGCCCTTCGTGGCCCCCTCGCTGCTCTTCGTGGCCCCGTTGCAGCCCTTCGTGGCCCCCTCGCTGCCCGTTGTGGTCCCGTTGCAGCCTTTCGTGGCCCCTCGCTGCCCTTCGTGGCCCCGTTGCAGCCCTTCGTGGCGCCTTCGCTGCCATTCGTGGCCCCCTCGCTGCCCGTTGTGGCCCCGTTGCAGCCCTTCGTGGCCTCTTCGCTGCCCGTTGTGACCCCATAGATGTATGCCCTTCGTGGCCCTCGCTTGTTCGCGCCCGTCGTGGCCCAATATGCATGCCATTCGTGGTCCCGCTGTCGCCCTTCGTGGCCCCCTCGCTGCCCTTCGTGGCCCGTTGCTGCCTCATTGGCCCCTCCCTTGGCCTCTGCGGCCCAATATACGTGTGCCCTTCGTGACCCCCGCTCGTTCGCGCCCGTCGTCGCCCCAGGTGCATGCCCTTCGTGGCCCCGCTGCCGCCCTATGTGGCCCCCTCGCTGCCCTACGTGGCCCCGTTGTTACTCTCAATGGCCCCGTCGTTGCCCTTTGTGGCCCCGCATTATCTGCCCTTCGTGGCCCCCGCTCGTTCGAGCCCTTTTGGTCCTAGTCTCATACGCATACCCTTCGTGGCCTCGCTGTCGCCCTTCGTGGCACTCTTCCTGCCCTTCGTGGTCCCGCTGTCGCTCTATCGCTCTCGCTCTCGCTCTCTCGCTCTCGCTTTCGCTCGTCGTCGTCGTCGTCGCCGCCGCCGCCGCCGCCGCCGCCGCCGGCGTCGTCGTCGTCGTCGTCGTGGTCGGTCACCTGTCCGTCCCTCTTGGGGTCGGGTTGCCGCCGATCAGCGTAGCCGCTGGCCAGGCCGAGGGTCCGCGGCCGCCCCGCCGCTTGCCGGGGCCCGGCCTGCAAGGACGAAAGCTGTGAGAATGCTGACGGGGGGCCGAGACACGAAAACGACCTCGCCGTGCAGATGCGAATTCGGACGTCCAAGCGGATGTGCACACTACAAACGGCTTGGAACTCTGTGCTAGTTCACAGTCCCTAGAGACATCTCCTGCGTCTTCGTGGCATCGTCCTGACCGAAACGTCCCGTGAATTACTACCTTGAGCAGCTTATGTGTCTTGCCCTTCTAGCAGTGGTTGTTCGTGCAATGCAGGCCGGCTCGCCATTGATCCACGTG